AGTTTATTACTCCTAAACATATTAGTCCAGATTAACTAACATATTTGTGATAATAATAATATAGTTTATTACTCCTAAACATATTAGTCCAGATTAACTAACATATTTGTGATAATAATAATATAGTTTATTACTCCTAAACATATTAGTCCAGATTAACTAACATATTTGTGATAATAATAATAATATAGTTTATTACTCCTAAACATATTAGTCCAGATTAACTAAAATATTTGTGATAATAATAATATAGTTTATTACTCCTAAACATAGTAGTCCAGATTAACTAAAATATTTGTGATAATAATAATAATATAGTTTATTACTCCTAAACATATTAGTCCAGATTAACTAACATATTTGTGATAATAATAATATAGTTTATTACTCCTAAACATATTAGTCCAGATTAACTAACATATTTGTGATAATAGTATTAATATAGTTTATTACTCCTAAACATATTAGTCCAGATTAACTAAAATATTTGTGATAATAGTATTAATACTACCAAGAACTTCTTGATAACATTTCTTCACAAAAGGACCTTCCTGTTAAATTGATACTAAAATCGAATCTGTTTGTTGCTGTTGAATAGGGCTGTGCTTACTGTATTGGGAAAGCAGGTACGACACAAGTGTTGAAAAACGAAACAGTGACGGAACTGCCAACCATGGGCTGTTTCAGGTATGTTACAACCATAATAATAGCTTCATCTTTTCTCGTGTACAATAAACGTTCTTATATGTTATTATCTTAAACGTCCACCTGTCCTCAAGTTAGATATTCGTATCACTGACGAGTCAATGTCTATATCACAATTCTTATTTTGTCAAAATCGAATTTAATCCGTGATTTTTGTTTGTTTCTATGCAGTTAAGTACAAAGCTACACAATGGACGATCCGTACTGTCCCCACCACGTGTATGGAAACGCGGTTTTTAGCATTATAACTCTTCAGCCTTACCGTTGCGTCACGATAACCAAAACTTAATTATCGCGCACAGATAAAATAATAGTAATTATTTGCTTAATACTCTGATTAGTTATGAATGTTAAGACCCCACAACTTTGATAGATAAAAAATTACACTCCACTAGTGAAGGGCCCGGCATGGCCAGGTGGTTAGGGGGCGCTCAACTCGTAACGTGAGGGTCGCGGGTTCGAATCCCTGTCCCACCAAACATGCCCGCCCTTTCAGCCGTGGGGGCGCTATTATGTGACGGTCAATCCCACTATTCGTTGGTAAAAGAGTAGCCCAACAGATGGCGGTGGGTGGTGATGAATAGCTGCTTTCCATCTAGTCTTACACTGTTAAATTAGGGACGGCTAGCGCAGATAGCCCTCGTGTAGCTTTGCGCGAAATTAAACAAAACAAACCACTAGTGAAATTGAAACAGGAATACGTAATTTTTCATTGCTAGGCCCGGCCTGGCCAGGTGGTTAGGGCGCTCGACTCGCAATCTGCGGGTCGCGGGTTCGAATCCCCGTCACATCAAACAAACTCGCCCTTTCAGCCGTATAATGTGACGGTCAATCCCACTATTTGTTGGTAAAAGAGTAGCCCAAGAGTTGGCGGTGGGTGGTGATGACTAGTTGCCTTCCCTCTACTCTTTCACTGATAAATTATGGACGGCTAGCGCAGATAGCTCCGTTGTGTAGCTTTGCGCGAAATTCAAAACAAACAAACAATCGTCATTGCTTTTAACAGGATGTAAATTTTTTTATTATTTTAGTTTCCATTGCTCTAGTCAAACATTTTTAACGTCGTTAATTTTTACGTTTATTGCCTATCCTCCAAATACTGTATCGTTATTTTTTCATCGTCCTTAGATATTAAATCATGTTCAACATGAATCTTGAGAGAGGTTCCACTCTTATGGGGTTCACCTTAATGTTTTGATAGCGAAGACTCTACATCGTCATTTTGTTATACTTGTATCAAAAACTCATGACAATATTTTTTACAGAAAAGTTTTGTTGAAGTTTTTGTGGAGTAAAAAGGGGGTGAGGTTTGTATGCGTAGAGCTTTCTTTAGCCATTTGTTTAATCTTTTTTTTTTCAAAAATAAATATACCAGATAAAAAAGTTCAGATTATATCTATATATATCAGCAATAAATTTAGTTTAAACGTTTCAAACATTTACTGTGAGGTAGAAAATGTTCTTCGTAATCGTTGATGGTATTGTGTCAACTTTCAGATCAGTGACAATATGTTCATTCTGTTTTTTCTGGTTTCTCTCAGATCAGTGACAATATGTTCATTCTGTTTTTGTCTGGTTTCTTTCAGATCAGTGACAATATGTTCATTCTGTTTTTGTCTGGTTCCTTTCAGACCAGTGACAATATGTTCATTCTGTTTTTGTCTGGTTTCTTTCAGATTAGTGACAATACGTTCAGTCTGTTTTCGTCTGGTTTCTTTCAGACCAGTGACAATATGTTCATTCTGTTTTTGTCTGGTTCCTTTCAGACCAGTGACAATATGTTCATTCTGTTTTTGTCTGGTTCCTTTCAGATCAGTGACAATATGTTCATTCTGTTTTTGTCTGGTTTCTTTCAGACCAGTGACAATATGTTCAGTCTGTTTTTGTCCGGTTTCTCTCAGATCAGTGACAATATGTTCAGTCTGTTTTTGTCCGGTTTCTTTCAGATCAGTGACAATATGTTCAGTCTGTTTTTGTCCGGTTTCTTTCAGATCAGTGACCGCTACTGGTGCCAGTCGTCTCAAAGAAGTCCTAGTATCAACATCTGTCAACTGTCGTGTAATGGTAAGTGTATAAACAGTAAATCAACACTTGACTTAGATGATAATCCTACCAAATATTGTGTAAGAACATTTAAATCTTGGATCAAGCGGTGACACGAAAGAAAATTTAAACTATTTAAAGCAAGTTTAACGGGCCAGGGACGCCAAGTGTGGGGTGAGATAGGGGCTTCCCAACCTCATCCCCTAGTTTTGAGGAACTAAGATACACGTGTACATTATTCGAGATCTTTGGGCTTTGTGAATTTTACCCCCACCCAAATTCAAAATCGTTATATGCAAAGGATTTTCTAAAAAGTCAAGATTTTGTATATTTTAAATGAGAGACACTTTTCAGGAGAAACTAATGCTAATAATTTAGATAAAAGCTAAAACTATTTAATATTATCTTTACACTTCAATACTAAGATTTGATTTTTTTTTGCTGTTGAGCGCTAAACCTTAAAAAGGGGGTTATCGGTGATGTAATTCGTAAAATATGTTTCTTCAATGATGATATAATTCGTAAAATATGTTTATTCAACGATGACGTCATTCGTAAAATATGTTTCTTCAATGATGATGTCATTAGTAAAATATGTTCATTCAATGATGATGTAATTTGTAAAATATGTTCATTCAATGATGATGTAATTCGTAAAATATGTTTCTTCAATGATGATGTAATTCGTAAAATATGTTTCTTCAATGATGATGTAATTCGTAAAATATGTTTCTTCAATGATGATGTAATTCGTAAAATATGTTTATTCAACGATGACGTCATTCGTAAAATATGTTTCTTCAATGATGATGTCATTCGTAAAATATGTTTCTTCAATGATGACGTCATTCGTAAAATATGTTTCTTCAATATATTTTTAGAGTTAAGAGATGATGACATCTATGATGACGTCATTCGTAAAATATGTTTCTTCAATGTATTTTTAGAGTTAAGAGATGATGACATCTATGATGACGTCAACTGCGTTTTGGAGATGTTCCATCGTCATGAATTTAATATTTGGTAAGTAACCATATTTTCCAGCATTCAAGTTGGGTATATTTGTAAAGAATGAAGTTTTAGGATATTTTAACACATGCCACACGAGCCTAGGATGGTCAACAGGGGGGAGGGTCATTCCGGAAACCGGTGATTTAGGGTTATTTCGATACATCTCGATTAATGAAGCTCGGCACGACTTCTAAAGCAAACAAAAAACACACACAACTAAATATTAATGAAAGTATGACATGATCAAATCTGTATGGATTACACTATGGTGGTACCACACAGGGTATTATACCATCCTTCTTATATTTACTCTTCATTGTAGAAATGGTATTTTTAATGTGAGAATCGCTAGGGAAATCATCTTGTAATGTATCTGCTTCAACTTCGACACTGTATCTTTGGCTTTACTGTGCCGTTAGTTTTACATAATATTGAAACTAATCATTTCTTATATACGATTCCAATCCCCCTTTTGAAAGATAATGATACTATTGTGCCCGTTGTTTTATGTTTCGCTGTCAATGCAGTAATTAATTGACGAATCTCCGAATCAGCTGGTTTGTCAAATCGATTGGGATAACTTCGAATAATTTCTTTCCTCATCCAACCAGGGGGCGCTCAACTCGCAGTCTGAGGGTCGCGGGTTCGAATCCCAGTCCCACCAAACATGCTCGCCCTTTCAGCCGTGGAGGCGTTATAATGTGACGGTCAATCCCACTATTCGATGGTAAAAGAGTAGCCCAACAGATGGCGGTGGGTGGTGATGACTAGCTGCTTTCCATCTAGTCTTACACTGTTAAATTAGGGACGGCTAGTGCAGATAGCCCTCGTGTAGCTATGCGCGAAATTCAAAACAAACAAACAAACATCCAACCAGGGCCCATGGTTTTAACTTACTCGTTACACTTAAATCATCACATTTAGAACATTTCAAGCATGTTTCATTGCTACATAATTTTACTTTATCTTTACAAGTTAATTTCTCCATGCTGGATCTCATGATCTCGGGTCAGGTCACTAGAACTCGAAAATAGTACCAAACGTTTTCTTTATGTCTAATCAAAACAATTCAAACCTTTCCAGAATGACCCCTTTTTTTATACATATCAAGATGCCGGGCTGGCTCGTGTGGCAAGTTTAAAGTTTGTATTTTCAAAGGAAAGCACTTTTATTTTATAAGTAACTTTATAATGTTATCAAGGAGAATTTAAAATGTATCGTTGTTTTAACAAGAATGAAGACAAGTTGAATGTTTTACGGTTACATTTCTGTTAGGTTACCAGCACAAGTTAAATTTAATGGTATAAATCTGCTTCCAGGCCATCTTCCTTCGAGAAATGCTCTGGAAACCTCACGGCCTGGTTAACTCCCTGTCACACCTTCCATCAGCGAAACGGTTATCCTCACCAGCAAGGTTACGTTCCTCAAAACCCCCATCAACCCCCTAAAAGTGACCATCAACAATATGAGCATCAGTATAATCGTGATTATGGCAGTCACGGCGGCGGGCAACATGGGGGAGGGATCCAGATAACTCCAAACGGTATTCACGTAAACTTAAACTCATCCCCCTTAAGTGCATTATTGAGTGGTGGTGGAGGACTTGTTAATTTATTGAGTGGTGGAGGAGGGCTGGGTAGCCTATTGAGTGGTGGTGTTGGAGGAGGACTGAATAGTTTATTGAGCAGTCTTACAGGAAAACTACGTGTCAAACCTTTTTTCAAGGTGTATAACACCATCTCGCTTGGCGCTGATCATTAATGGTAACCTGAAGACGACTGCTGCCATCTAGTGGACATATGGATAATTACTGCCATTTAGTTGAAAAAGGTATCTCTTATAATACACAGTTTGAGTCATTGACATCATATCACAAAATCTGTGATTCGTCGCGTAATCATCGAAGTAAAAACTGCAAACAAGGTGATTTATTTGCGATATTATTATTCGACCACAACTTTCAAACGCGATACATGGGTTAAGGAACTGGTATATTTACCACTTGTGTTAGACACGTGCTGTCTAACGTTTCATGTAAGGAAACAAAGTGTTGATCACTGGCCTACATTTCGTAAAAAGTCGAAAGTTGGAGTATCCTTACTACTATTAAGTACGCACATTAAACATATACCCTTGTTGTATCTAACAATTAAAGATTGAAAAAAATGATAATCTGACTCTAAATAAAGAAGATGCTTATTGTACAACACCAGAATCTTTATTAGACAGCTTTAACCCTAGTTACAGCTTTAATCCTAGTTATAGCTTTAACTGTAGTTACAGCTTTAACTGTAGTTACAGCTTTAACACTAATTACAGCTTTAACTGTAGTTACAGCTTTAACCCTATTTACAGCTTTAACTGTAGTTACAGCTTTAACTGTAGTTACAGCTTTAACCCTAGTTACAGCTTTAACCCTAATTACAGCTTTAACTGTAGTTACAGCTTTAACCCTATTTACAGCTTTAACTGTAGTTACAGCTTTAACCCTAGTTACAGCTTTAACCCTAATTACAGCTTTAACTGTAGTCACAGCTTTAACCCTAGCTTACAGCTTTAACTCTAGTTACAGCTTTATCCCTAGTTACAGTTTAACTGTAGTTACAACTTTAACCCTAGTTACAGCTTTAACTGTAGTTACAGCTTTAACCCTAGTTACAGCTTTATCCCTAGTTACAGTTTAACATTAGTTACAGCTTTAACCCTAGTTACAGCTTTAACCCTAGTTACAGCTTTAACTCTGGTTACAGCTTTATCCCTAGTTACAGTTTAACTCTAGTTACAGCTTTAACCCTCATCCGGAAGGGATCCATATGAAGACCG